TGCAAAAACTAGGAATAGAGTTGTAACGCTGCTAATGAGAGTTACTTTAGGCTTTAGTTTACTTTAGTTTCAGCTTTAGACCCGGGCTTTTTGGAACACTGGTACCCATGCCGAAAGATCCATCGCTTCTCCCTCTCCTTCTCCCCAGCATGAATCCGCCTATGACAACATCACTAACATAAAATACGAACTCTGATAGCCCAAGCAATTTTGGTATTCTCAGTATTTTTTGAATATTCTTGTTAGCCTTTTCAGAAAATCACATCGCTTTGGCCTTTGAAAGATCTTTTGCCTAAATTGATACAACACCTACGGGATTGTTCGGAGCAGGAATTGGTACCTCTACTCGCATTGGATGGAGTTAAAAGAGCACGAGCTCGGCAACTGTATAATGCAGGTTAGTAGCGAAATTTTTTTGTAATTTTAGAAATAGAAGAATAGAAGGATTTCACTTGAATGTCATGTGTACGAAGATATTTTATGATGCACTTTGTGTTTCATCCCTTAGCTGTATACATAGACCGAACTATGCATGCGGGTAGGAGCGGGATTCATCCGCACACCCTCCTAGCCGCCATGTTTTGAACAGTCATGTAACTAATTTGCAAGACGGATAAGCTAAAAAAAGAGATATAAGTGAAGGAGCAAATAAAGTGAGAGAGGAAGGGAAGGGAAGTTAAAACGTGAAACTGCATTATTTAGGGCTCTTCTTTTTTTTCGTTAAAAAAAATGATTTAAAGAATTACTGTGAATAAAAACTTAATGACATTTTATTCAAAATTTTTTTGTTTTCACAATTTAAGGTTTCAAAACGGTTGGTTCGATTGCGTCAGCGGAGCCAAGCGCACTTCTGACAGCAATTAAACATCTCAACAGACGGCAGGCAAATGCAATTATTAGAAGCGCCAAGGTTCATTATATCATTTTTTTTTTCGTTTTAATATACAAACTGTTGTAAGAAAGCAGAATTTTTTTTTACAAATATGAAAAAAGCGATATTTTGTACCAAAAAAACTTTTAGCATACCAAAAAAGGTATTTTTGAATACTTTTTTTTTGATTTTTTGGTACCAGAAAGGATACTTTTTGTATAGCGCAAGGAATTTTAGTCTTCCATTTGGTAATTTTTTCTATTAAAAATCAAACTGCGCCTTCCCCATCCGTAGCTGCTGTCCGTGTGAGAGGATGGCATATGAAAATAGCCTGAATGATAGTATTGATCAGCATCAAGCCACGAAAATTGTTGGTGGCTTCCGTCCTTCGGGAGTCGTTTGCAAGCAAGCTGATGGCGGTTTTGACTTTCACTAACAATTTATCATTGAAGCTAGCAAAAGAGTCACAGGGGAATTGGATATCTCATCGGCAGGGTGGAATTCTCGATCTGATGATTAGTAAGATGAGTTATTTCTTTCTAGCCTTTTTTTAGCCATTAATTTGATTGTTGTTTTGTCCTTTGACAGCTTTTTTTATCCATTTTTTTACGTCTATGTAATGCAGAAAACATATATTGATGAGGGGTTGTGTGCGTGTGCGTGTGTGTGTCTGTGTCTGTGTGTTCGCCTGTGTCGATTTTTTATCTCGAGACCTACAAAAACTACAGGGCTGTAACTTTGGGAACTTAATCTACATACAAGTATGGGCCCCATCCCCAAAATGGGCGCTCTTACCCGCGAGCTACCCACTTACGAGCTCGTCAAAGTTTTTAACGGGCAAGCTGCTTACTCGGGAACCAGGAAAGCTAGAAAGCTAGATTTTAAGGAGATGTTTCCTGACAGTCCTGGCAGCCGATCTCAATTCTTTGAGCTAGAAACATCTGCTGGAAAAAACAGTGCCGTTTATTGGCTATGCAAAAAACGCATCTTCGCACGGGCAGTTGGTGCGCTGGCCATTCATTATTCTCATGTGTAAGAAATGCAAACTTAAAATGATTTTAATTTTTGATATTTTTATATTCTTTTTGAAAATGAGATGCGTGAAAAAGGGACTTACGGACCACTGGTTCAGGTACTGCTACGTGATCAGTTTGCGGAAAAAATCGAAGAATTAGAACAAATGGGTATTAATGCAAACGAAGTTTTGGCTAAATTCATCACAGACTACTGAAAAGCGGCAATTATGCCGTAATTGTTGCTAGGTACTGCTATTGCCGGTGTTTTGTTTGCATGCATTTATGAGTATTTATGTTGATATATGATTGTAATTAGATTTGATTGCTGTAAATGTCACGATTGTTTGCAAAAAATTCTATTGCTCTAAATTATTATCGTGGATCTCTGGTTTTGTTTTGCTTTGTTTGTATTGATTTTCCTAGTGCTTGGCATGGCTAGGTTTCAGCTTTCTAACTTTTCTCGTTCCCGAGCTAGCAATTTTGCCGCCGGAACTTTCACGTGTCCGTACGTGAGTTCCGGGTTTCTAAACAGCTGATTTTGGTCGTACATGAGTAGGGAGCATTCCCCTGAAGTTTCAGTTTTTTAGCTTGCGGTTGGCGAATTCGTCCCGGTTTAATAGATTAAGAATTCCAAAATCGGTAGACTTCCTGAAAATTTTCATAATCGTAGATTTGGTCGAAATTAGTTTATTATTAATTAGAGCAGAAATATTGAAATTATGAAAAGTTTTCACTTATACTTTGTTCGTCCTCGGAATATTATACCTGGAAACCGATGTGATAATGATAACGATGATGAAAAGCAGTGATTTTATTGTCTCCTTTGATGTGCAGCATAAACCATCAATACAACCATTATTAACAGCAAAAGTAGCAGTAGAGTTACAGCAATGAACAAAATTGATTTCTTATAGCGTAGCAAAAAATTGGCACGTTCTGTAGCATCGTCATCGTCCGCCAGTTTTGCCGTGTATTTCTCATTATCATATTCGAAGATTATTTTCGCCTTATCG